TTGTGTTTATCTGAGTAACATTGTGATTTTCTGATTACACAGGTCTGTGAATTTAAACTTCATAAAACTTTATTTTGTTTTAATAACAGATTTTCCATAATTCAGCTACACAGATTTGGAAAATAATATTATTTTTTTTCTATCGCATAAGGATTTTTTACAAATTGGGAAGAAGAAAAAAAACTCGTACATCAAATTATTATTTCGTTTACCACAATAAACATTTTTTATTGTTATGTTTGTTAACAAAAAATACAAACAAACTGAATAAAAGGGAAGAACATTAATGTCAAACGAACATGCATTCTCATTCATCCCGATTCTTTTAGTCTCAAAACTACATGTTGTAGTCTTTCTTTTATGTATTACATTACGATGTTTTGTGAAAATTCTGTATGTGATAGAGAAAAATGGATATTTTTGGATTCAGCATACAGAAATTACTGTAGAATAAAAACATTTCAAGACAATAAAACCATTGCAGGCCTGTGTTATGGCTTTGAGTAATAGCTGGGGAACTCTTCTGCAAAGGTTTGTCACAAAATCCAGTTAAGAGCCAGTTGGAAATAGAAATTTTCATACCTGAATTTTTTTTTGCCTTATTAGATTTCACAGGCTCAAGGTTAGATAATGTTAAATTTAAAGGCATATTCTTTCAAACATTGCTACCGATTTTCTAGTGTTGTTACTACTGCCTATATCTATAGGGAAATGAACCTTCAAACAATGCTACTGATTTTCTGGTGTTGTTACTGCTGACTATATCTGTAGGGAAATGAACCTTCAAACAATGCTACTGATTTTCTAGTGTTGTTACTGCTGACTATATCTGTAGGGAAATGAACTTTCAAACATCGCTACTGATTTTCTTGTACTTTTACTGCTGACTTCACAGGCTCTAGGTTAGATAATGCTGAATATTTAACTCAGCAATTTAAAGGCATTACAAATGTTTTTAACATTCAACATTTTTAACTTACTTCTCTTATTTATCTGCTATATGTACAAAGCTTGTCTGTATACAAAACCAATGTATTTGACACTGACTACGGTCGTAGTAGTACAAACTCCACTTCAAAACATTTACCTCTTTCAGTTCTTCCTCCATGGTGTTGAATTTCTCTCTCCATGCTTGCTCTTCAGTTTCTGCTTCTCCCTTCATTCTCCTGAAGGAGTCCTCCTGAATAACAGACTTAATACATAAATATTTGCAACATGTATTACTCCAGAACATAGCAGTATAATACACACTGGTATTCCAAAATATAGTAATATATTGCACATCATTACTTCAAAACATAATAATATAATGCAAGTTGTTGCTCCAGAATATAGAGATATAGTGCACACTGTTATTCCAGAATACTGGAATATAATGCTTATTGTTCCAAGGTAATTGTGTTAATTTAAGAACAAACAAACATGTACTAAATCCATACCTGATGATGAAAACCAAACTCTTAAGTGAGAAGGTTGACTTAAAACTTAACAAAAAAAGAAGAAACTTGTGTGAAAATGCCATTTTGCACCTCTAGCAACTGTTATCTTCAACTGTATGTATAAACAACCCTTAAATATTTTAACTATTAGCAGCAAATTATAGGCATGTGAAATAATAAATGAACAATGGTAAAATCATATCAAAATAATGACATGTCATAAACAAAATAAGTGAAATTTTATCTATCGCAACTTCACTCCTGAAGATAACGTGTGACATGTCGAAACATGGAGTCATTATTTTGATATGATTTTAATTATGTATTGATTTTAATGTTTAATATTTATTATTTTCACTTTATACACAAGTGCCGATACAAATATTTATATATATGAAATAATATTAGCTTATTATAGTAAACCATTTGATACATTAATAAATGCATTGGATTAACAAATAACTGAAAAGTTAAGACATCCATTGTGACAGTCTACACAATAAGGAACAATTGGTAAAAATTCAAGCATAAATTTTAAACGAAAATAAGTTGAACAATTCAATCACAGTACTGTACATGAAACTCGACATAAAGGAATCCAACATCTGTAACCACGTCTACAATGAAAAGTTCTGCTACTGTAGATTAACAAGCAAGACATAGTATTATCTAATTTGTTTAGAATTCTCACCGCTTCTAACAGAGCATTCTTGTACTGTTCAACTTGAGCAATTAACATGCTTTTTTCTTCTTCACTTTTTACTATTTGTTCCTGTAAAAGTTCAGTTTCTTCGTTACTGGATCTTGATTGTAGGCAGTTTAACATTTTGACCATTTCCGTTTTGAAGCTAATAAGCCACTGACAGAAATCCTGCAAAATATTGAAGGACAAATGTTACAATAAAACACAGTGCACTATTTTGTATTGTGCTATGTAGTACCAGGTTTACATGTGCATAGAAAGTAGAGAAATTCAGTTTTTCATATGTCAGTTCCTAAGTATTGGAAAAAAAGGCAAAAACAAAAAACCCAATTCATTCTTTATATATATATATACAAAACCACAAGTGTGACAAGCATATGATGAAATATTTCATTATTACCTAGTACTAAAAAAAATTGAAACTGATCTGAAATAATGTCTTAGAAAATTATGGTTAGAAAAGGCTTAAGAAAGTAATGGAATTTGTTGTCTGGGCTGTAAACTCTTTTACAAGACTCTTGAGTTCTAGCCATATTTGCAGCTCAGATTAATTTTGTAATCTCCACAAAGTTCTGAAAAGTATAAGGGTTAGGTTCCATAAGAGTCATTCTTGGTTTTAAGCCACTGAACAATAAAATGCAGAGAAAAGTAACAGTAAGCTTTGCTTTCGTTAGTCTAGTCCTAGAATTGTCCTACATCTCCAGCAAGTCAGTATGAAGATTTGTACAACTGTATTCGTCAATATGGGACACATATTACGAGTATTGTATTGTTTTCTGCCAAAATTTTCACTTGCATACAAATGGACTCGACTTTAGCATCACCATGGACTTTGTACAGTATATGTAATGGGACAATAGATATATGTGATAAAGATGTAGTTCGTGCATGAGCTCATAGTGTAAAGGCAATAAATATGTTGTCAAAAATGTTGTAAAACTGTGACACGTAATATTCATACTAAGGATGGAAAATGGTACACTATATGACACAGGGTTTTTGGTCACTTTTCAAATCATGTCATTGATGTAGTAGGGTGAAGCAGTAGTTCTGATGACACTGAATAAAGTTTTAGTGACAGCATAACACGGACAGTTGACCTTTTTTTATGTAGTTAGTTCGTACCAGGCTACTGTGTTTGTTCTAGTGGTTGAAATTCATAGTACAATATTTATGTAGTTAGTTCGTACCAGGCTACTGTGTTTGTTCTAGTGGTTGAAATTCATAGTACAATATTTATGTAGTTAGTTCGTACCAGGCTACTGTGTTTGTTCCAGTGGTTGAAATTCATAGTACAATATTTATGTAGTTAGTACGTACCAGGCTATTGTGTTCGTTCTAGTGGTTGAAATTCATAGTACAATATTTATGTAGTTATTACATACCAGGCTATTGTGTTTGTTCTAGTGGTTGAAATTCATAGTACAATATTTATGTAGTTAGTACGTACCAGGCTATTGTGTTCGTTCTAGTGGTTGAAATTCATAGTACAATATTTATGTAGTTATTACATACCAGGCTATTGTGTTTGTTCTAGTGGTTGAAATTCA